GCGAAAAACGAAGTTAATATATAACAAACCAATTTATTTAGGGTTTTGCATTTTAGATATTTCAAAAACATTAATGTATGATTTTGATTATAACTATATGATTAAAAAGTTTAGTAAAATCAAATTATTGTATACAGATACGGATAGTTTAATATATCATATATTTACAAATGATTTTTACACTGACATAAAACCTGACCTTTCATCATACTTTGATACCTCAGATTATGATACAAATAATATTTTTGAATATCCAAAATTAAATAAAAAGAAATTAGGTTTTTTTAAAGATGAAAATAATGGTAAAATCATGAAAGAATTTGTGGGTTTACGATCCAAAATGTACGCTTTTAACTTAGAGAATAAGACTATAGCCAAGGCAAAAGGGGTAAATAAATGTATCACTAAAAAGATGACAATGAATAGTTATAAATCTTCTCTATTTAATAAAAAAGTGCAATATTATAGCATGCTTAGATTTAAATCAATTAAACACACAATTTTCACACAAAAATTAAATAAGATAGGTTTATCATATAATGACACAAAGAGACATATTTTAGATAATAATATTGAAACATTAGCTTGGGGTCATTATAAACTGCGTTAAGTGTTGATAGTTTTTACTTTTATGTCTGCGTTTAAGAAAAATTTATATTGATTGTAAAATTATGATAATACTATAATATGACGTAGTTTATTACATATTTAAACATTGTTTTATTGTAAATAATTTAAGTTAATTGTTGTTTCTATTTATTTGAGGTTGAGTTAATTGTAAAATTATGATGTACTAATTGTGTTAGAAATAGTATACAGATAATTCTGTTTTATATAATTTTTGGAATATATATTAATTGTTTACACCAACACTTTCATTTTTTATTTCACCCCTTTGAACTTTAGACGTGTGTTATGTTTCACTTTATCCATCCGTTCACTGCTATTGTGGCAGGACCAAGTGGGTGTGGGAAGTCAAATTTTGTAACGAATTTCATAAAATCAGTTACAGAAATATGTAATTGTGATTTTAATCAGATCACATGGTGCTTTGATGAAATGCAACCATTATATAATTTACCAAATGTTAACTATCATCAAGGAATTCCAAATCTTAATATGTTTGATGGTGAAAACCCACATCTTGTTATTATTGATGATCTAATGAGAGAGTCCGATGGAAGAATTGTGGATATATTTACAAAAGGTAGTCATCACAGGAATCTTAGTGTATTTTATCTAACACAAAATTTATTTCATCAGGGTAAAGGACAAAGAGACATATCTTTAAACTCAAGTTATATAATATATTTTAAAAACCCTCGAGATAAAACTCAAATAAGATATTTAGCAAGACAATTATCACCAGATAACCCAAAATTCATTGAAAATGCCTACAGGGATGCAACTCTAGAGGCGCATGGATATTTAATGGTAGATTTAAAACAGAATACCAATGATTTTTGTCGTATCAAGACAAATGTCTTTCCATTTAATGGTTTCTGTACAGTCTACGTCCCCACAAAATAGTTTAAATACACCAAGAATCAAACAATTGAAATCATTGCTAAATGATGCATCGTCGACTCACAACGTATAAACATTTGCTAACCGCTTTGCATACGCTTAAACCAAAATATCAAAGAGCATTACTTAAAACGTGTGATGAAGAAGAAATTAACTGTATTTGTGAGTGTATTCATAACGTTTTACAAGGAAAAGTACCTCTTAAAGATCAGGATAAACAAAAATTGAATAAACATAAAAACATACTCCGTAAACTAGTACGTAAGTGTAAACATAAACTAAGAAAAAATATAATTATACAAAAAGGAGGGGCTTTCTTACCAACAATATTAGGTGCAATATTGAGTGGATTAGTGAGTGGACTAGCCAGTTAACATGGAAAATGCAAAGAAAATGATACTTATCGAACCTGGATTGATTGAAAAATTAAAACAAGAAAATAAGGTTAATAGTAATTTATCTCGATTAGATATTGAAATGCAAAATATTATGAATAGTAAGACGGAAGACCGAAAGAAATGGATATTATATTTACAAACACTGCAAAGATACCTTCATTTTACCGAAGAGGATCGTCAACCACTCAAATTACCAATTTATTCTGATACATCTAATGAAGATTCAAATGAGTCAAAAATTGGTTTTAAAAATAAAGATAGAGATCTAAAAACTTCAGTTGATATTGAATCTTTGCTGGAGGAGAATCGATCCATTAAAAGTAAAGAAAATGATGAAAATCCACTTTACACACCAGCTCAAATACTCAGTTTAATACCAAAAACTTATCATAAAAAAGGGCAGTTATTATTAAACTTAGTTGAAACAAGTAAAAGTAAAATACATTGGGATAACGAAGGTACAGTCATAATTGATAGTGAAAAAATTCCTGGAAGTAATATTGTTGATTTAATAAATGATTCACTAAGACCCCTAAAAAGAAGTGATCCGGTAGGGTGGGTTAGATTTGCTGAAGCATTAAAAGATATTAAAGTACCACTTACTTATATTGGAAATCCAAGGAGATGTGAGTTTATTAACCAACTTCAAGCAAAAGATCTGAACAAACCCTCTGAGATTGAAGTTCAAGAGTTTTCTACACCGTGCAGTAGAGATAAAAAGTCTACAACTAAAATACGTAAAGGACTTGAGTGGGAAAAATGGACTCCGTACTAGAAGAAATTAACAGGATTTATTATGATCCATCTAATCCCGCTGGTTTTGGTAGTATTGATAAATTATCAAAAGCCATGAAGGGTAAAATGAATAAAAAGCAAGTAAAGGAATGGTTAAAATCACAAGAAACATACACATTACATAAACCCATTCGAAAAAAATTCCCGCGTAATAGGTACATTCTATCAAATATTAATGAACTGTGGCAAGCTGATTTAAGTGATATGCGAACTTATTCTCAATATAATGATGGTTTCAAGTATATACTTTGTATTATTGATGTATTTAGTAAATATGCTTTTGCAAGACCAATGAAAAAGAAAAACTCAGAAACAACTAAAGAATGTTTTGAAAGTATATTTACTGAAAGTAATTTAACACCTACTCACATACAATCCGATAAAGGTACAGAATTTGTTTCAAAAGATGTACAAAAATACTTTAAATCCAAAAAGATTTATTACTATACCACTAACAATCCTGACATTAAGGCCAGTATTGTTGAACGATTTCAAAGAACACTAAAAATGAAAATGTGGCGTTATTTCACTCATAATAATACTTATAGATATATAGATGTTTTACAAGATTTAATATACTCTTATAATCACAGCTTTCACTCTAGTATTAAGATGTGCCCATGTGATGTAAATTCCAACAATATTATGACAGTTTGGACTAATCTTTATGATAGACGGTCAAAAAAACTTTCTTTAGAAAATCCTAAACCAAATTTCAATGTGGGTGATTATGTTCGAATAACTAAATATAAACATGTATTCCAAAAAGGATATGAATCAAATTGGAGTGATGAAATATTTATTATATCTTCAATAATTGATAGATCTCCATGGGTTGTTTATACAATAACAGATTTACAAAATGAACCAATAATTGGTACTTTTTATGAAAGAGAATTACAGAAAATCACTTACAACCCCACCTCACAACATAAAATAGATAAAATAATTGACACTCGTTATTCAAGTAACAGAAAAGAAGTATTAGTGAAGTGGAAAGGTTATCCAGATAAATTTAACAGTTGGATTTTAGCTTCTAGTTTAAAAGAAATATGAATAAAGAAAGTTTCTATTTAACTTTGCTCAGCAATAGTTCAATGGAATACTTTCCTGATAACAAGACCACAAATTTTTCAACGAAATTACCAAAAGCTATAAAATTAGAAGGTGAATGGTCGGTTGGAGTTGTCGAGTTTCAATATCCATGTACCATGTTTACTGTTCAAGACCATGAAAATGTTATATACATTACAAAATCTATGTTAATGCCTAATGAAGATAAGCCATCCACAGTGTACTACAAAAAACATATTCCAGCTACCAACTATGATAACGTTGAGCATATTTTAAGAGTGTTAAATGGTATCGGAGAGAACTTGAAATTTCGCTATGATGAAATAACAAAATTTGTGTCTATTTCGGTATTGGATAAAAATATAACATCCGTAACATTATCACCCAAATTAAGTTTACAGCTAGGTTATGAACCAAATAAAAATCTCCTAGAGAGAAATTTTGGAAAGTGTCCTGCTAATTTACACTTAGGGTTACCATCTCAACTATTTCTATATTGCGACATTATCGATCCTCAGATTGTGGGTGATGTTATGACTCCTTTATTAAGAGTCATTTCATTAGATCCTACAAAATACATTTATGGTGCAAATAAAATGCACGTTTTATCTCAACCTCACTACTTACCTGTTATGCGAAGAGAGTTCGATACGTTGGAAATAGTTATAAGATCGAGTACAGGACAAAAAATACCATTCCAGTTTGGAACCGTGTGTATTAAACTACATTTCCGAAAATTATAATAATGAATTCTCTTCGTGATCATCATAAATGTCCATATGAGAATTATTATACACATCAAGCTGGATCAGGAGTTGGAGTAATTTATAAGGATTCACCATATCAACGCGGTCATGGTATTGGGAGCTTCTTAGGGGGGTTATTCAGATCAGTTTTACCTTTACTTTCAAGTGGTGCTCGAGTGATTGGTAAGGAGGCATTAAGCGCTGGAGTAGGACTTTTATCGGATATGGTTCAAGCCCGTCCTATGGAAGCCTCAATAAAAGATCGTCTAAAGCAAGTTAGTACGAATTTAAAACGAAAGGCTTATGAGAAAATTGATCAATTTAACATGACTGGATCTGGGTATAAAACTAAAAGAAAACGATTGACATCGTTCATTCCACCATTAACTGCTAAAGTGAAAGCTGCGAAAAAACTTAGTCTAAAACCAAATAATATCAAAGATATATTTTCAAACTAAATATGTCTTTCCTTCATAGTCATTCTTGCGAGTGCGTTAAGTCAGAATTGGATTTGTTTGCACTACCGTCTACACAAACTAGCATTGCAAAAGGATTGTGGATTCATTATAAACCAATTTCATCTCTTGGTGATGATGGACCTATCGAGTTTCAAGTTCCTGGGACCGGCGATGACTACATAGATTTGTCTCATACATTACTCCACATAAAGGCAAAAGTATTAAATCAAGATTCAACTAACTTGGTATCTACTACAATAGTAGCACCTGTAAATAATTGGCTGCATTCACTTTTTAGTCAACTTGATGTTTATTTAAACCAAAAACTTGTATCACCACCTAATAATACCTATGCATATCGAGCATACATGGAAACCCTTTTAAACTATGCCCCTGCTGCTAAACAATCTCATCTTACTTGTAGTCTTTGGTATGAGGATACAGCAGGAAAAATGGATTCTACAGATGGTAAAAACATAGGATTTGTTAAAAGACAGGAATTGATTAGTAAAAGTAAGGAAATAGAAATGATTGGTCATCTTCACGGTGACATTTTTAACCAAGATAAATTTTTAATTAATGGTGTTGAAATGAGTGTTAAATTGGTTCGATCAAGAGAGAGTTTTAATTTAATTGTTGGGTCAAACGATGTAAAGTTTAAAGTTTGCATTACGGACGCAACTCTTATTGTGCGACGAGCACGAATTAATCCAAGTGTATTACTCGCACATCAAAAAGTTTTAGCTTCTACCACTGCTAAATATCCTATTACTCGAGCTGAAGTAAAAGTTTTAACAATTCCTTCAGGTGTTCAAGGAAAAACTCTTGATAATATATTTTTAGGACAGGTACCGAAAAGATGTATAATTGGATTTGTGAACAATTCTGCATTTAATGGTTCCCTTACTAAAAATCCATTTAACTTTGAAAACTATGGTATTAATTCTTTCAGCTTATATATTGATGGTCAACAAATACCTTCAAAAGCTTTGCAACCATCTTTTAATAATAGCATATTTACATCAGCATATCATACTCTATTCTCGGGAACTGGTATTCACTTTCTTAATGAAGGAAATGGAATCTCTTGTGAACAGTATGGCAAAGGTTACTGTCTATTAGCATTTGACTTAACTCCTGATTTATCAGCTAACTCATCAACTCATTGGAATCTCATAAAGCATGGTAGTGTAAGAATAGAAGTACGATTTGAATCCTCATTAATACAAACAATTAACTGTATAGTTTATGCTGAGTTTGATAATATTATTGAGATAGATAAAAACAGAAATGTTACTGTAGACTATAGTAGTTAAGGTTATAATATGTGTTGTGTGTTAGATTTTATGTGTTATGTGTAATGCATTTTGTGTGTATGTAACTATGTGAAACGTTATAAAATTAAATAAAACAAATTGTATGCAATATATTTTTTTTATTTCTTTATAAATCTTCTATTTAATCTAATACAAAACACTGTTCGAGTTGAAATTTTACATAAGCACACTGACTAAACCACTGAACATGCTGCTGCCAAGGATCATCATCATCTTCCCAATCTTTTAAACCACCACCACAATGGAAACACTTGGTCCCGTCTGCATGGCCAGTATAAAAGAAACCAGCTTCTGCAAGATCTTCAGGTTTCTGTCGCATAACTAGAGGCCAGTTTTCGAAACTAAGCAAACGGCTAGATTTTGAACTGAAGAATGGATATTCAGCTCTTGAGTACTGCATACTCTTCTCGTTTTCTTCTCCACTCAGTGTTGTAGTTTTGTTATTCAATGATGTGTTTTGTACACGTATGCCACACTCATCTCTTCCTTCCGCTCTTGTTTTCCTGTAATTGAAGTAAACAGAATCACATTCACTAATGATCAGCTAATGACTGTCATTGTTAAAAAAGTATTTTTTAACTTTTTCACTTTCTGCTATTGTCTTTGTTATATTGTATACGAGGGCGTTTGTATTGTCGTAGATGCTATCCTTATTAGTCTTTACGTAATATTTAATTCTAGTGGAAGCATGTTTCCAATGATCAGTAGTTGGAATCTTGGATAGCTTCTTCATATCGTACATTTCAATTTTGATGAGATGCGTCGCTTGGTCTCCGTCGTCAGAATTAGTAGAAATGTATGATACACCATCTCTAGCGGCTCGTGCTACGGTTGATGATAACAGCTTCCTCTTTTTTATTTTTGATTCAGCTTCAAAAAAATGATCAATCGATTGCGATTTTCTTTTTCCACCATCGCATGTGTTATTATTAATGACGAGGTTATCACTCTCTTATTGAGGGGAGAGTGGCGAGTAGTAATACTGTTTATAGGTATCTTCATCGAAGCTCAATGATTTCTGCAACAACACAGTTATCATGTTAATATCAATTTGTTAACACTTAATCATAAAAGTTAAAAAAGTTAAAGTTACAGCCTATTAAAGTCCACTGCTGAACATAGGCCTCCTCTCATTTCTGAGAGGGTTTTAGAGCAAGGAAATGTCCGCCGCGCTCCCTCAATGTGTGTTGGCGAACTTCACATGCCTTCGAAATTTTCTCAGACATGCAGGTTTCCTCACGATGTTTTCCTTCACCACCAAGCACGTGGTAATAAGCACTTAAAATTGCTATTAACAATTTAATTGGTGCTGGCGGGGATCGAACCCGGGTCGCGTACTGTGAAATTTACAGCTAGCGCTAACCATCTGAGTTACCACGGCTTAATCATATACATACACAATATTTAAATAAAATAATACACACACATGAAAATAACAGAAAAAAAGTAATTTAGTCAATAGAATAAACACTTACATCCATAGCCTTTGGTGTATTGAAGTAACACAAAATGTACTATTGATAGATCCACTGTAGCCAAACGACCGTACACTAACTCGATGACTGCGTTTGTTGGTCTTATATACCACCAGTACGTAAAAATTCTAATCTAAAGTATTTCCGTAATGAGTTGATAATTACTTTATGCGTCAACCAGTTTATCTCACATTTCCGTTGCCTATCTCAACATTTCTTCGTATTGTGTTTTGTTTGGTGATCAATGACTCAAGTACGATTTGTATAACACAAAAATGCAATTTAATATTTAGAAACATATCAGTTTATCTCACATTTCCGTTGCCTATCTCAACATTTCTTCGTATTGTGTTTTGTTTGGTGATCAATGACTCAAGTACGATTTGTATAACACAAAAATGCAATTTAATATGTAGAAATCACTATAATTGACCATTCCTATGTTATTCATTGAGTAGCTAGGTACTGTAATAATCTACTAATAGCAGTAATATCATGGATACACTAGATGTACAACAACATCTGAAAAAGATTCACCCCAGTCTAGAAAATAATGTTTATGCAGCTAATAGACTGCCTATGTATACCCACGTACCAACGTATATAATATGTAATTTGGATACAGATGATAAACCAGGGTCACATTGGGTAGCTTTATATATCGATACGAATGACGTCGGTCAATATTTTGATTCATATGGACGATCACCTGTACGATATCATCTAGAGTTTTTAAAAAGGAATTGTAAAAGATGGAACTGGAATGTTGATAGGATTCAGAATGAGTGGACTTCAGTTTGTGGCGAATATTGCTTAATGTATTTGCTATATAAGTTTCAAGGATGTTCAATACATAGTTTTACGAGTATATTTACAAGGAACACATTGTACAACGATATTTTAGTGGATGAGATGTTTCGCTTCTATTTTATAGATAATAATTAATAAGATTTTGTATTTTATAAATAAAAATTGTAACAAAATTATGTAATGTGTTTTATTGATGATTCAGATTAGCGTTGTATAAACAAAGAATTATAATAAACAATAGCACTGATATAGTCGACGCACACGCTGCAATGAAGGTGATTAATGAACAATAGAACAATAGAAATAGGAACAATGGGACGCTAATGACGGTGGAGACCCTTACCGGATATCAATTAGATATTAGCTAATTGATCTACACATCTCCAGAACCGTGCATTCTACACAAAAATAGACCGCGGATTCGTGATTAGGATCGGGTGTCGACGAACGTCGTTAAACCACGTCTGACTCAGGTGGTCTAGAAGTGGTACAACTACACTACTATAGTGCCATATTGTAAATAGTTTCAATACAGTATAGTTCGACAGTACCATCTTTTCTTTAAGCAGTTTCCCTAGCGTACTCAATAATACAGTCCACTGCGATCCCTAACAAGTTCTTGGTCCATCGTCGCCGGATTCAAGCCAGAAGAAAGAAGAAAGAACATATTTATAGAAGAAAGAACATAATTATTGAAGAAAGAACATATTTATTGAAGAAGGAACATAATTATAGAAGAGAGAACATAATTATAGAAGAGAGAACATAATTATAGAAGAGAGAACATAATTACAGAAGAAAGAAGATCATTACAGAAGATCTTCGAGGAAGAAAGAAGTACGTCGACGAAGAAAGAAGATCGTCGGTGCTAACTCCTTCCTCGTTTCTTGTTTACATCTACGTCATATATATATTGTCTGTTTCCAGACAATTCCTGTTTCTTAAACCGCGTTTACGCGGCCGGGTGGTTGCTCCCTAACGATGCCAAACTGTGACCATCTGGTAACGCCCTCGAGGCGGGAACGGCATCCAATACGTGCATCTTTTTGAAGACGATCGGAGGTCGCAACGAGGGACACCATCATGCGGAAGACAAGAAGCCAGAAGACACGGAACGACGACGAAACGCCAGTAGGAATGCGGATATTCGAGGAAGCACCCGCGTCCCCGTCCGATTATCTCGCGTCGGCACAAGCGCCACAGCCCCCGCTCGCGCCCGCATCTATGCCCGCGCCCGTGCCCGCACGGCCGCGCCCCGCTATGTCCGTGTCTACAACCGATCGCTTGGGAGAAGTTAGCTCATCCGCGCCGCGCACAGAAACGCTCGCCGCGATAATAGAAGATCTTCCGACTACAGAAACCAGTTCGATAGTGCGTACCGTCGCGCCTGTAGCAGACGTTGTACAAAGGCCCGCGTCCCGCGCCCCGTCGGTCCGTTCAGTCCGTTCAGCCCGGTCGACAGCTAGCGCAGTAGCAAGATTAAAACAAATCGAATATAATGCCGCGGAGGAACTAGCTGCAATTAGGAGGAAGCAATTGCAAATCGAGGAAGATCTCATCAAGAAAAAGTATGCTAGGGATATCGCTCAACTGCAAGAAGAAACCGATAGGGAAAGCCTAAACGAGGACGAATTAGTTGAAAATAGGGTACGCGTTGATAGATGGTTAGAAAACGTAGAGACTGTGCGGGGGGAGCCGCCCTACCGCCCGTCTCAGCCCGCGCCCCGCATCGAGATAGAGCAGGCCCCGCCGAGTAGGGGAACCGGTTACGACCACGCTGAAGATGCCCAGGGGAGGTTGGTTGCGAATGACGTTCAACCGCACCGCGTAAATACGACACAGAGGGATAATGGAGTCGCCGTAGAAATGAACCAGGTGGATCGTCGTGTACGGGTTACGTCACCGTCGCGCGTCCAACGCCGCACTCTATCGCCTACACATAGATCGCCACATCACCACGCGGATCGTATATCACCGTCGCCGTGTAATGATGTAGGCAGAGATAAATCGCCACATCGCCTTGCGGATCGTAGATTACCGTCGCCGTGTCATAGGGATGTAGGTGTACATAGGTCGCCGGCGCCACAGCGTAGGCTAGAAGGAAATAGGGATAGAGATAGGTCGCTCACCCCGCGAGGGAAAGATAGGGGTATAGAACGGCTAGCGGAAGCTTTAGAAAGCATGGTTAGGGTTAGACCAGCCGCCGCGAAACAGACGCAGGACTTGCCTATTTTTAACGGCTCGGCCGCGGAATGGTTAGCATTTAAAGCCGCGATGAATGAATCCACGCGTTTATATGGATTCACAAATACGGAAAATATGGCAAGGTTAAGGAACTGTTTACGCGGTGAGGCTAGAGAGGTAGTATCGGCTCTGCTGTTTACCGCGAAGGATCCGGCAGACATTATGCGGACACTGGAGCAGTGTTTCGGCCGCCCGGAAGTAATTATAGATCGTGCTTTAGAAGAATTAAAACGCCTTCCACGCCCGGGTCAAACCGCCCAGGAATTAAACTCGTTCGCGATTAAATTACAGAATATAGTGTGCATTATGCAGAACGTCGACGGCAAGGGTTATTTGCGTAATCCAATGCTGACTAGGGAGGTTACTAGCAAACTTAGCCCTCACTTACGGTCGCGTTGGTGCGATTATGCGGAGCACTACGGAAGTGCAGACGAACCGGACATCGTTACG